GGAGCGCGCGAGAGAGAGAGAGCGCGCGAGGGAGAAAGAGAGAGAGAGAGAGAGAGAGAGAGAGAGCTATAACGAGAGGCGGGCAAGACGGGGACAAACAGCTATATCACGCGAGAAAGATGCGCGAGCTGACGACAGAGCGATAAATCCACGTTGCCACTGTATATATTATTAACAGTTTTATAAATCCTAGATCTACATGCGCTAAATAATAGAATAAATAAAGGATGATCTTTTTTTATATTTTAACCTACTGGCACGTACGGTTATGAAGCGGTCGCCACTTAAAATGAGTAATTTCAACAAAATGTTTTTTTAGATGCTGTATACACGCGACAAAATATCCAGCCGACTGTAACATTATACGTATGGAACCGCAGGAGTCGCATGGGCGCTTAATTATAATTAAATTAAATTAAATTAATTATTAAGTAAGACGTTAGAATAGGTGAACGTTTCATCAAACATTTTAGAACCAATTACCGTAATTCATAAACATTGGCAAGAGATTTATAATCGGAAAATAACATCGTTTATTGGCTATTTATATTCAGATTACACAGCTGCGCAAAATAACTGGTATAAAAATAATAAATCGATGCAACATTAATTGCAAATATTTCCTACATAAACTAAAACAGATATAAACTAAATAAAATCGAGTAAAAGTTCTTGATGCTGGATGACTTGCGAAATAGAATGATATTTATGATAATGACGATTTTAAATCGAAAGCAAACGCGACGCGTGCAAATAATATTGTCAACAGATACAAATTGCAAATTACAAAATCAACAATTATTCTTTCGCATTCTACCTATCATTCACGCTATACATTCATAGCATTAGAAGAGTGTAAAATCTCGATTAGTAAGACTCATTTTGTCCACAAATTTCGTCACCTCGCTGTTAACTCTAGGATAACTGCTAGAAACTCGCGTCCATTGTTCAGAATCCCGTATGTTTTCAGTCTTTGACCACCAGCCGTATGTTTGAGATGACGTTACTGGCGTGCGGTATATTTCATTCGGAGCTGAAAGTGACATTGCGAAACAGTTGTGAATAATCTAAACATATATAATTATAGGTTACAGCACACAGTCGTTCGTATTATTATATATGATGCTTATAATAATTATAATTATTGCAATTATTGCTAAACCTCTGAACTTGAACTCAATGTATTCATTCAAACTATATATCATTAGCAGACAGCTATACATAGAAGTGGTTGTCTTACCTTTCTGATTCCTCTTGTGTTTTTGTAGGATAACTTTATACCTCCTATGAGAACCGCACGCTAGATCTACTTCTTTCCCTGCCATATGAGAGTGGTTGACGTCAGGCTCTGCTGGCGGATTGTTGCCATTTCCTTTTTTGTCTACATAATTATGCCATATACAAATATGCATATAATACCCATTCATTTACAATTTTTATATTTTTCCTATCAATTATTGTCTACAGTATCCTATATGAAATATATAAATAAAAAGTATCTATAATCATTCTGTATACAATGTCTATATTGAAAGCAATTCACCTGTTTATAATAAAAACAATAATGAAATATTTAAAAAGTGCGAATATATAAACACGTACATTTATATGCGAACCCTTAGTGACCTTACGTATCTCTTTATAATACACCTGTAAAATAATAATCGACGTGCCATGATCGAGCGTCTTCTTTTGATTGCGATGCGTTACCTGATATATACCTACCATCTTTTTGCTCGTAGTTTTGGTGCGCTGGTTCTACTTCGTACTTGGTAGCCTGTATATAGTTTTGAAAACCGAGTTGGGTTAAATTAAATAGTGCCATGATTGCAAGCCTAATATATCCTGTTGGTATGACCCATAGAAATATGGTATGACCGATGTTAAATGTCTCTACTATAGTATAAAAAACATTGTTGCGTAGACACGTGCCGTTGCTGGGAGATGGCCAAGGAGAGTTAGGAGACTGAATTTATGGATACAAGGTGGCGCTACCTGCATAGTGTCATGGGCGCGCTCATATACAAAGGTGGATATACAAATGAGACGTCTTTTAATACGTCTTTTTGAGAGGATCTTTTATAACATCTATGCACGTTGAGACAGAATGAAGTTCAGGGGAAAACTAGTTGACATTGGCTGCATTCAACATTTTACTAGTATGTAAAATAGCGGAAGTGGATACTCTGCCGTATACGGTTAAAATATCCACTGCCTTAGCCTTAGGCTTAGGCTTATTTGTTTGAGGAAAACAGACAGACGGATTTGACAGATTCTATCATCTATGATCTGTTGATCACAATAATAATAAGTACAATAATGCTAATTTTAATATTAACAACATTGGTATGTATACACTTTATTTAAATTGTTTGCAACAATCGGCGAAGTAATGTCATTTTCAAATTCTGTGAATTATAATGAGAATGCGATTATGCGTTTTTAATAACAAGTAACTAGTGGGGTAGTACTAGTAGTGCTGCACATCTACTAGTACTGGTATTACTGCTGCTACTATAGTCAACATGCACCTATAGGGCCTGCACACCTCCCAAAGTGACGCATCGTCGACCGACCAATCGGAGCGCTCGCAACTCAGACACTAAAGCTGATAAATATAAAGCTAAACCCTAACCCTAACCCTTACCAGTAACCATCCACTCACGATAGCCAGCTTAAATAATGCAACCACAAAACATTGCATCAGCTTTAGTGCCTGAGCTGCGAGCGCTCCGATTGGTCGGTCGATGACGCGTCATTTTGGGAGGAGCTGCGAGCGCTCCGATTGGTCGGTCAACGACGCGTCACTTTGGGAGGTATGCAGGCCCTAGCTGCGAGTCTACAGTCATCTCTATTGTTTTGTTTTTCATTAAAACCAGGAGTGATAACAACAATTTCGAAGTTGGCGAAGACTTGTACGTTACGCATCACAAGCCACAAGCTGTACTTCATTCTTACAGAACAGGTGGCCAATGGTGGTGTGAGAATATGGTGTGAACTAGTGCAGGTAAAATACGATTTTTTAAATTAAAATTTTGTAATTTTATGAAACTATATACAGGTACACCACCAATTTTCCATAACCCTTGGTTCGGACCAAAAGAGGTCACAGAGTAATATAATTCAACAATACACCCCTGAGCAACTAAATACTTCTGATGTCTCTAAAGCACCATGCACTGCTAGAAACTTAAATTGAACAAATTTATTTGTGGTGTTTTTGTTTTTTGATCACTGACACTATAACCTGCCTTAGAAGCCATAGCTAGGGTAAAATTTGAGAAAAATAAAGTATGAATTGCATAAAATCAAGAGCTCACCTCTAAATGCTGCAGTTTAAACAATTTAAGGAAAGTGCGCCGCCCGCAACGCCCGCACCGCCATCATCTGTGGCCACCCGGTAAACTAATAGGAATTTCAAATGAATTTTATCCAGATTAAAAGAGGTTCCGGACCATCAGTGTCCGGAAATTCAGTGGTGTACCTGTAGTGCAAGCACCATACAAGTAATTATATAAATTCGGCTAGAATGTGTATTTGGCCTGATGTAAAGACCTACGTTACATCATGTTTGCTATATTCTCTGGTCTGTATTTGTTCATAATTTAAGTGCTCAATTTATTTTTCCAAGGGTAACTTCTTCGATGAGTATGACATGGAAGGTGTGAACAAGGAAGAGGCAAATGAAATCTACCTTGAACTGATTCCTGAAAATTTAGCTAGAAGCCTCAGAAATGTCGTTCAGCTGGCAAAGTCAGTAAAGATAAAGCTCACCAAAAAACACACACCTTGCTTGACATTAGAAATTGAGCTTGTAAGTTGATGTTTCTTCTATTTTCAATGTGGTTCTCTAACTTATTTTACCAAATAATATTTAGAAAGTCAGTTTGAATGCTGTTTTATGCAAAATATACAAAAATATACAATGTATACAAAAAAGCAATATTTTTGTGGTGAACCATAATGTACATAATGTAGAAGTAATTCATCTGTAAAATCCTAAGTAATAATAACCTGAGACCTAATTTTAATCACATTACCAGGTCTTTATTTATGAAATGTGGATGAATATGTGGTTAGAATGCCTATACACACGATTCAGTTATGACTATCTAAGCACTAGTACTTATTTTGTATCATCGTATCAGTTACTGTGGTGGTAAACATGAATTATTTTTCAAGCTGTGATAATCAATTAGCCGATGTCCGTTTATTAAATGACTTGCATTTCCAGCCGTCTCTAACAGGTCATTCAAGAATCGTGCTTCATGACGTGCCAGTAAGTGTGATTCCAAGACGATTATGGGGAGACTTCGAAGAACCAGAAATGCCAAACTTTGACGTAAGTATGGTCCTTGTCAGCAATTGGCGACACAGCTGTAGGAATTGTAATATTTATGTGGGTACCAGCTATAGGTGATTTATGAAACGTGACATATACCAAAATCTCTATTTTTCGTGTCTCGGTCTGTAATTAGTGCCTCAAATAATGTCTCCATGTGTGTTAGTAAGAATGTAATGTGTAACTAAACTACAAAAAGTTTTGAATGAAAAACCCGTTTTCCACACTTGCAATACGAAATGCTATGTGAATGATAACACATCCCACAGTTGCACGGGTTTAAGTGACACAGAGAGAAAATGGAACTATGCAATGAGGTTGTGGTGCTTATTTCTGTATGGTAATTGCAGGTAAGCATCTGTTTACCCCAGCTAAAGATTCTTAGGAACGTAGTTGATCGCATGAAGGCTATGAGCAATTCTGTGGTGAGTTGTAGAATATATATGGTATATATGGTTACAAGCTGGTTCAATTGCTAAAGTTCCTGAGTTGATATTTCTGGCAAGATAATTATATATGGTTATAAGTATATATATCATATGGTATATATTGTAGGCGTGTTATTCGCACTACCGCCGTAGAAGGTCTGTAATAGACTATAGAGATAGACAAGAGAAGACAAGAGTAACGTTCACTAGTGGTTTATTAAATCTCTAATACAATACACAAAGTCTCAGTGCACTACCGAAAGACAAGAGTGTTCTACTACATAGCCCCGTATCACGCACTTACACCTTTCTCAGCGGGTGTCTTGTACACCAGAGCCCCGAGCAAGCGGCGGCCAAAATAACAGTAATAACCCTATAATTAGAGTTAACAATATACATTGTACAGTATTATTATGGTTAGGATAAAAAAGTTGTAACTCTGTTATTATGAAATTGCAATTATATTAGTGAACAAAGTTGTATATATGTTTAATTAGTGATGTGTGAAGAAAATTGGGTAATGATAAAATTACAAAGTACAAAACTAAGGTATTACTGTTGCTTACTAAGTTACTACTCACTAAAATACTGTATAAAATAAAATTATGAAATTATCTATTTGTAGATTATCGCTGCCAACCAGAATGGAGAACTGGCACTGAAGGTTCACACGGACATGGTCAATGTGACGACTCACTTTAAAGATCTCAGTAACCCGTCATGGAGTATGGCCATTTTTATTTCCCACCCTTTTATTTACTGCAATTTTCTTGCGAGAAGACGTGTTATTTCCCTTTGTCGTTGAAAGCCTTCCAAAGTCTTCATACTGACATTTGTGCATGTTGTGATTTAGTATATATATACATCTCCACAGCGGTTAATAATAACAAATTCGGACAGGTTTGTCATTATCAGGGTTCGTAGCGGGTCTTCCAAAGTCTTATAAGTACTTATTTTGCCAAAAATAAAATAAGGGCCCTTATTAGTACTTATTTTTGGTGAAATCTTAGAAAAGTACTTAATAGTCCTTATTTTTTGCCAAAGGACCCTAGGTTTTATAAACTGTTCTCGACTTAGAGTAAGAATTGTATATATAATACGGAATAATTAAATCTGCTGTGCAATTGTGTATATAAATATTATTAGTGTACTTTAATAGTTGGTGATCTATCAGAAATCACGTAAAAAAGTCTTATTTTGGCCTCCAGAAAGGGTCTTATAAGTCCTTATTTCAACATGTGTCTTACTACTATGAACCCTGATTATTCACTCCTGATCTCCGTGATAGGTGTGGTGTATTGTTTGGCAGGTGACGAGCATGGAGATGGCGCGTCTCAAAAAACAACAGTGATGGGGAGTGGGAAAAGTAAATTCGCAGAGGCTAAAGTTGACATCAGACGGTTCGCCCAGTTTCTCGCCGGTCAGCAAGTGAACCCCACGAAAGTCATTTGTAGTAAGTTTTGTTGCTGTGCTCATTTCATACCGGAAAATCGGTCGCGCACCTGTACATAGATCGAGTTGCTCGATTGCCATATTCTGCGTACAACAGATACGCACTCGTAATAGATGATTTTCAAAACAATGTTATTATAAGAGCAGAAGATAACCTGCCGTTCTATCATATTCTCTGTATATATCAAATTGCATATGGAAATTACTAGTGAACTACTGCTAGCATTTTATTTTTTTTGTAATAAAGTTCTTTTTTTCAGATATAGTGAACGAAAAGGTGATACACTTCTTCTTACTACATGACGATTTGTCCTTGCAGTACTTCATACCTGCTGTGTACTAAGGGGGTACATTTTCCCATAGCAGACGCTTTAACACCAGAAGCAAAGGGCGTGAGGAGAGTGATTGGATGACTGTAAAAATTGCATTCGTAGTTGTAAATAAATGTATTCGACTATAAGTACTTTAAAGTTTGATAATATAAATTATAACTGCAACATCATGTCTAAAGAAAATCACAAATAATCTAGTTGTAAAGAATGTTTTATTACGACCTACTTCCATAATATAATGAATGTAAGAAAATAATCAAGATATACAAATGCATTTATGTAATGTTCAAAGATCTAGTCACCTACGAAAAAAGGGCAGCTAACACTGGCAGGAAAATTCGTGACAAATATTCAGCAGCAGTAATTTATCATAAAAAGATGAAAGTCAGCATTCAATAAAAATTCTTCACTGCCCAGCAGCTTCAATACTAAACCCAAAATGGTCCGTACTTCCATAAATGCCTAGACCAAACATAAATGACTTCGACAGCTAACCAGGTTAGAAATGCATAGCATATGTAGTATACAGACTGTCTTATGCCATCTGATTAACGGGCAATAACGATAGTGCACTGTTATTCTCTAAACTCCACTATATTGATGTTAAGCATAGCAACACATACATTGCATTTAAGCTGGTTTTATAGGAAGGCACGATATAATAGACGGTTCAATTCCTACAACATTGGACATGGCAAGATACCACCCCACAATATTGAGAAATTATCATTGACGAGTAATGCAAACAGTGTAGCATAGTAAACATAGTGCAATCCGTGAGAAATAAATCCATTAAAACATACAGAAGACACAAAGTAACAATAGACCATTGGGAACTTAAGGCATCACTCTTAAATATACATGAAGCCATGAAACGTACTTTTCACTAGGTTAAATTGTATTTTGCACAGGGTTTTAGTCCGTAGATCGGCCATCCAATAGCAGTTTTGTGAAGGTTGTTGCCTCCCCACATGGTGACAAACTAGTAGTATGATTGATCATACATGATTAATGCAACGCAGCAAATACTGTTAGCACTGTTGTGGACATCTTTGTCCATGTAGACATAAGGTGATTGCTACTGCAGGCCTAGTAGGTACATGACGTAAAGATTAAATCAACGATTAAATATAACAGATTGATACATATTTTTAATGTGAATAGGTGCATTCCTAGTTATCTTCTACGAGACTGCTTGCCACATTACATGATTCTGGCAAGTATAACGCCGTAACACATGCCAACAGTTTCACGCAGCACCTGAAAAATCACCACATTGTTCATTTTTATTATTACTTAGATTTGCCGCAAATAAAATTGCCGTCAGAGGAATTTAGCTGCCTAATTAACGGCATCCGTTAATTATTCATTATCATTAATCCGTTTGAATAGATTATTAAGCCAACGTGCAACAATATGCTGTGTGTGCAGGGAGGTGTGCCCATCACGAATTCCCAAACTGCTAGAACCATAGGTTGCCTTCTTCCTCGTCTCGCAAAGCCGACGCTCCGTCGCAGAACCGACAGCGTCCTAGCCGTTCAGAACCACACGCACCATATCTGAAAGTCACAAGAGCAATTGTCACGATCAAACGCAGGACACGACAGATGCCACGGGCATGCCACTACCACTTGTAGGACGACGAAAGATTAATTCGGATCAGTTGGGTTCTCAAGTTGCGGATTGTCACACGTTCTTTCTATCTATACAACACAACTCGCAAAGGTTCATCAGGATAACATTATTTTTTTTTAAAGTGGCAGACAGACAGCAAACTGGAACACTTGAGAATATGATGCTGTGTGCTAGGAACATTAGCGGGTTACTTCTAGCTAAAATTAAACAAGCAGTACACAAGCACGGTGAGGTGCCAAGTGCTTAAATTGTGTGTTGTGATCAGTGGATGGTAAGCAGAACAATGCAAACATTAGATGACAAGTACATGCAGAATTAGTTGCCAAAACAAGCAATCCTAATTTTCAAGTGAACATCACACTACGCAGTAACATGCGAACGTTTAATGTGCAGGTCTTTGCCAAGTGTCGCGACATTCGGGTGCGGAAATCAGACGCACATCGGCCAATCAAAAATGTGCGTTCTGCATGTGCGTGTGTACGGCGTGTGTATCATGTGCTCAGGTTAGCGAGAGTAAACTACTCCATGTGCACATTTTGAGCGGGTGCATCGTGGAAATCAAACGCTTGCCACTAAACTTACTCTCCGTTCAGCCATTTATCACCTGCTGCACAAACCCTGAAAAAGACGGTCGCGAAGAAATGCGGCTTAAAAGATCGAATAGTGTTTTGAAAATGGAGACGAGTTTCCGTCATGTCATGAGCACAACAACTGAGTGCACTTCGCTCTCTACACCCTTATAACAGCTGCCGAGAGGTCGACGTCACCAGTGTAACTGGCATGTTGGCACATGTATACACGTTGGCACCAGTCACATTGGCATTCTCAACGCCACCACGGGCGCAAGCACTTCTCGCTGCGAAACGTAACCAAGGACATACCTTCATAATTAATGTTTCCCTGGAAGTCCTCCATGCCAGTCGTTAGCATTTCCACCTCCTCGTCTGACAATTTCTCACCTAAAATAGCAGCAGTTCTCATTCAAGTAATGGCAAGTGACTGGCAAGCAGCAAATAATTGTAAATAAACTAACTATAATAATAATAATCGAGGTCATTGCTAACACTATAGATTTACTGCATTGAACAATAAATCCTGTTGAAATCACATATGGCTATCAGGCGCGCAAATCCATATTGAAATGTGGGGGGGACACGAGTAGCGAGCACGCGAAGGGGGGCTCTGGGTGGCCCTCCCCCAGCAGAATTTTTTTGGAAAATTAGACCCCCTCAGATGCCGTTTCCTGCGGAGTATGGGGTCCGGACGCGAAAAAAAAGCGGAAAGAAGCCAATCTGACGCACTATCACACACAATAAAAAGGTTCTCACTTCACAAAACACACGCACCACGCACGCACGGCACGGCACACACACACACACACACAAATCATGATGTCCCCCTGTCCCCCCCCCTGGATTTGGGCCCCTGTGGTTATGCAGTGAATTTGTGTCCCATAGAGACGGTCCATGCTTCCATTTCATCACACGTGAAACAATAATTAAATGCCAATCGATTATAATTAATTAGACTTCATCTATCAATGCTGCTTCTTTTTCATCGACCACTCCCAGCTATAACAGGAATAAAACTGGAGCACATATTGGCAGCTGTGAGCCTGAATCCTACATTATAATTTTTAACTCCGATTTTTTTTCAATCGCCGTCATTTTGCTTTAGAGCTCGCACTGACGGTTAGTTTTTCCTCTCGGCGTAGATACAGTAGTGAAGTACAGTAACAACACAACAAATAAACAGTAATCAACAATAATAATAATAATAATAATAATAATTACAACAACAATAAACACAACACAACACAACAACAAATAAACAGTAATCAACAATAATAATAATAATAATAATAATAATTACAACAACAATAAACACAACACAACACAACAACAAATAAACAGTAATCAACAATAATAATAAATAACGATAATAATAATTAAAACAATTAACAGTAGCAACGACGGAGGGAACCCACCGATGGTGGTGAGCAAATGCCGCAGTTCCGCGCAGCTCATGAAACCGTTGCCCCTCCTTGTCGAACACACGCAGGCCTTCGATGAAGTCCGCAGCCGTCGACGGCTCGCAGTTGCGCACCACGGTCTGCAGGATCGGCAGGAATGTCTCGAACGATATGCGCATCTCTGCGGAGGAATGCGCACGAAACACGCGTCAGCACCAGTGAAAACAATACACGGGGGCTCGGCGATTTAGCCCCGAGAAATGTCAAAAAGAGCCCCGAATGCCAAAAGAGCCCCGAAATCGCCAAAAAGGCCCCCCGAATTTAGAGTTCAATGCAAACTAAATTTTAGAGGGCTATTTTCATGGACGCGAGCTTGAAAAGTAGCCTCCGAAAAATAAATTTTTTATTTTTTTCCTGGTCAGCAACGTGTCAGCAGTCTACGTATGGCCGTCGTACTCAAAAATAAAATAAATAATTTTTTTTTTTTAAAGATAACAAAAAAGCGGAAAAAGAAGATCCCAGAAATCTCCATCCACCCGTAATAAATTATCGTCAAAAATCAAAACACGGGCATTGCATGCGGACGTCGGCAAAAAAATTACGCAAGCCAGTTACCCCCACCCCCACCCCACGCTGCCGCCGCCGGAAATCTCCGCCCACACGTAATAAATAATCGTAATATTTTTAAAATGCGTTTTTAAGTGAGGGGAAGTTATGTTAGGAATTCAGGGCGATGACGTTCCGATGCTTCGTCGGTGGCGCCGCAGCTGCCAAATACCTGGCTTATCGTGGTAACCGCATCGCTTCACTTCCGCCTCCGTCGGATTCTGGCCCATCGCTCTCAGCGCCTCGCCGATCTGGGATGCGGCGATATTTCCATCTCCACGGTTGTCGAAGATCCCGAAGATGTCCTGGTAATCTGTGTCACAAAGCCGACAGAAACGTTGCAGTTGAAGGGGAAGTAGGGGAAGGCTACACGTGGGAGTAATCAGGGCTGTGTTGCTCAGGGCCCCCGATTCGTGTCGGGTCACCTATCGATCAGCCGAAGCACGTTTCTGCAGCATATACATGTGTTTTACGATGGTTACAAATACGCAACATGCACTCACCGTTACAGTTCTGAAAGGATATCAATTTATGATGTCCTACTCTGGAATATATTCTCACACCTATCCATTTTTTAATGCAAAGCCACGTTATCCTATAGGCGCTTGTCAAAAATTTCCATTTCCTAATATAATGTATCCAACTACCCATAGTTATATATATCCTGCTGCTATTTACAGCGTTGTAATGCTGGCTCACTCCCAACTTTTCAAATTTCAACATGCACGACACACGTGTTTTGTATCTGCGAAAATAATGGACGATCCTAGTTTTGTTTTTTTAAACATCTAAAAAAAACTAACAGTAACACATACATTCAGAAGCATCTTATGTGTGCAGACTAAGGACTTTTTATGCAAAACACATTTTAACAGCCAGCATGCAAAATACTCCGTCTAAACAGAAGTTAGTTGAAGCAGTGCATGAACCCTGATCGTGTGTGCTTGTTTTCACACACCGAAAGTAGACGGCATTTTTACAATTCCCTCGAATTTATAAACAATCAATCAAGAGCTAGGTAATAATACCTAATCATTATTAAATAAAATAATAATTAATAAGCATTATTAGCTCTTGAATCAATGCATAAAAACCAACTTCTACGCGCACTGAATGACATGGCTTCAACTCTAAATGCCCCCGTCTGCCCGCGAAACAAAATACCGACTACACATTTAGCCCGCGCGTTGGATGGACACAGCTGTACAACACGCACCGGCAGCACATGTACGACGCGTCGACGCCCCCACACCCCCAACCCCTGCCCCACGCGTTCATCAACACGTGCTGCGAGTCTCGCATCACACTCCCCCACCGCTACATTGAAGGCATGGCGGC